GATTATAATAAAGACCTAGAGAACAATAGATAGGAGAGTAAAACGAAAATCAGACACATTTCATAGTAGCACCCTCGACTCCTGGACTGCCTCCATCACACCAGCCACGTCCATGCACCCTGCAGGCGGAGAGGACAGGAGTCTCTTTATTTCTCACCAAGGCCCATACATACTTAAGGGTGTGTTTACAGGTAACCACACGTCACGGGAAGGGTCTTTACTATAATCATAATCATGACAGGAAGGGGATGAGGTAGGGGTGTACATGTAATAGGAAGAGGAGGGGCTAGTAGTATATATGTGACAAGCAGGGCAGACGCTTGACTCAATGTGGCAGCCTAACCTTGGTCACTCTTGAGTTGGCTTGACCTCCCTGGGCTCTCCTTCAGAGAAACAATATACAGTGAACCCTCGTTTATCGCGGTTAATCAGTTCTAGACCCTACCGTGATAAATGAAATTCCGCGAAGTAGGATTCCTTATTTGTAAATCAAATATTTTCGTAGTTAGAGCATAGAGGACATGAAAAAACACCCTTTAGTCACCATGACACTCGTATTACCCAATTTATTAAATGAAAAAGGGAAAATATAGTAAAACATTTTGGACGTTACAATGATCATTTATTATTATTATATTATTTATGGCATCAAGGGTGTACAGTATGAGCCAATCAGTGGCAGTAATGACAGAGCATGCACTGTTATGCAAAAACCACAATAGAGTGAAGCCGCGGAAGCCGAAGTGTGAAGTGGCGAGGCTTCACTGTACTGTCCTCATCAGAAAGGAGTGGGCCCTCCTTTGGGTGGGGCAGACTATACAGTGTGATTGCTCTAAATGGCCGATAACCCTTAAGGAGGACAACCTCTGACCAATTTTGTTGACCTGCAAGTGCTTATCATGTGTAGCAAGTAGCTAAGATTGGCATATATTTGGAGGAGACAACTTGGGAGAAATCTTTCTGTATCCCAGAGATTATCATTGCTGATGTCAAATGGATCATGGCTGCAAGCCAAGGATACCAGAAAGATGTTTACTTGTGTTAACTTGTCAATCAAGTTGCAGCCTGATGACTCCTTGATCATGAATGTGAGACATTAGGCACTGCTCTATCCTCCTTCCCATTCTTGCCTTGCCATGTGTCCACCCACCTTTGATCCACTCAACCCTGCACCCACTTGCCTGCAATCTAACTGCATTCCCCATCATTTCATGTGGCCGAGTGAGTCTGAAGAGATATATGAACTAGTATCAGACTTATGGACTTGAGTTGGAATGCTTTCTTGATATATTTAATTATGTAATAACTTCTTAGGAAGTTCTCTTATACATATACATCACTGGACTTGTTTCTGTAGTCAGTAAGGCCTAACACGGAGCACATTGTAAAGACCAAAATCCTCACAACGTGAGCAAGGGGAAACATCATGATAAATGAAGAAACGGTAAAAAAGGAAAAGGATCTTGTCTTGTTTGGATCTAAAATCAATGCTAATTAAATTAGCAGTCAAGAGATAAAAAGAGGTGTTCAATGGGGTAAATCTTCTGTACAAGGCTTCTTTAGAGTACTGAAAATCAAGGATGTTTCCTTGAGGACTTAAATGCCTGATCCAAGCCATGTTGTTTTCAAACACCATATGCACGTGAAAGTTGACCAAAGCATTTGCATTACGGTGCTGCTGGAGAGTACTGAAGGTACCAAAAAACTTTCAAAAGGAAAAACAAATGTAGGTCAAGAATGGCAAGGCTCTGTCTCACAAACTTTGGACATGTTGTCAACAGAGATAATTTCCTGGAGAAGACATAATTCAGTGGTTCTCAACCTGTGGGTCTTGACCCCTTTGGGGTTCGAACGATCCTCTCACAGGGATCAACTGATTCATAACAGTAGCAAAATTAGTTATTAAGAAGCAAGGAAAATATTTTTATGGTTGGGGGATCACCACACACGAGGAATTGTATTAAAGGGTCACGGCATTAGGAAGGTTGAGAAATACTGTGCTATGTATTGGGGCTACAAAATGACAGATCAAGATGGATTGATACAATGGCTGCATCGATGGGATCAAACATAAGAACAACACTGAGGTAGGCACAGGATCAGGTGGTGTTTCATTCTATTGTGCACAAGTTCACTATAATTTGGAACCAACTCAAAGGCACAGAATCCAAAGGGATTCTGCATCTAACCACAGAATGGTCCACAATAAAAAAATATTCACCAGAATTTAGTAAATACTCAGTGAATTTAGAATGTTTACATTGTGTGTGCTTGGAAATCAAGATGTATATCCTGTTTATATTCCTGTTTAAAGAACATGTCGAGAACTAGGAACATTTTTCTACCCAGGTCCAGTTGGCACCATTAACTGTCCAGAGGACTAAAGGTTACTGCAAAGCCATGCTCACTTAAGAGCTCATTTAGAAACAAAAGGAACATGGAGAGACTAATTTTAATCCAATTATAGAATGCATTACAGACAGACACCCGATCAACAAACAAAAGGAACACGGAGAGACTAATTTTAATCCAATTATAGACTGCATTACGGACAAACACCCGATCAACATGTATTGAAGATGAGAGTTAGATAGCGGGATATAATTTAATAGCCTGTTGAATGTTACCCGCCCTCCTCTATAAGGAAGCAATAGTAAAGCAGGAAAATGACTCATGAAACAGTAACTGACCATGAGACATGAGACCTGCAATGATGCTGAAGACATGGTGTTAGTCTTGCTAAGAGCTGGTTAGACATTGAAGAAACAGTGATGTGCTGTTGATTAGACTATAGCTTCATGGAACAACAATGTGAGACAGTACCACTCTGTGAAAAGGATGCGTCATGACAAAAACAAAACCACTGAGCAGGAGGCATAGAAAGATGACCTGTACCACCTTTCCTCCTGGCCACCATGGCTCATTGATGCTGCTTTCCAGTAACAGCTCAACCTTCCACCAATTTCCACTGTTGTAAATAGAAATCAAAGCTCCCGATCTTGGAAACTACCCACCCTTCTTCAGTGCAAAGCCCTGCCTCCTTATGCCTTCTCAGACTCACAAACACATTCCCAAAGCTGTAACACCCTTGTCGTGAGACACCAGTCACTTCATGGTGTGTGAACCTTACCCTTTTCCAATTAAGTCGGGACTCTCAATTATAGATATGGGAGGTGTGTTTCTAATGTTCTTTCTTTGGCTAGAGGGCATTGACATAAAATTTAGATTTTCATTGTTAGCAACAAATAAAAGTTGCTTTAAAGATGGTAGCTATAAAGATGTTACAGAAACAAAAATGTCAAAAGGTACGTGTAGAATTTAGCACTATTTTCTAATAGTAATTCTATACAAATAAACAGAATTACAAGGAGGAATTAGTAACAGTCCATCATCAGAATATGAGGTGTTAACATACTGGCTCAATAATGACACAAAAATGACATTTATAAATATACAATAGGACTTAACAATTTTGTAAGCAACACACACAGACCTGTGACTAAAAGCAAAAATTAATTGCGAAGAATCAGGTGTAAGTGGTAGAAATTAAAAAAAAAATTAAAACATTAAAAAAAATTGGTAGAAATAACTACCCACTAATCACATGTAAAAGTGAAAGTAATTTAAAATATTTAGGAGACTCAACTCTAAGAGAACTCCCACAACTTATTATATTTAAATCCTAGAAATAACAGAAACAAAAAATACGTAGTCAATACAGCTCAGGGAACACAGTTTTTCCCGATTTGAAGACAGTTAAATTTTGTCAGGGCTAAATAAAGGAATTGTAATACTATTACAGGAACAGAGCTATAAAGCAGAGTTAAAGTGGCATTTCTAGCCAGTGTCTTTCTCACTGCTATCAAATATTAAATATGGGGTGGGGGAAGAGCCATCAAGTAGATTCTATTTAATTGACTCTACTACATAGTCACACAATGTCATTTTCCTCCTATGGTGGGTTTCAACAGCCAACACTGTGTTTACCATTCTAATACCTATCTCCCAGTGCTACCAGAGATTCTTAACAACAGGGTAGGACTATGTAAATGAGTGCTGTGCACCACTACATGAATTGATAGTTTGATAATAATGCAAATAAATGATAGGATAGTCTTGTAGAGGTGGGACCATGAAAAGAGGGTTTATACCACCCTAACCTGGTGGATTGGCCTGCATGGTCATTTACCATACATAAAATGAGCCATCACAGAGGCAGAAAGGGAAATCTAAGATCACCAAGAAATAAGCTTCAAGAGTCCCGCATGCAGATCCACTCGGACCTGGAGTACCTGTGTGCCAGGAGAAGCCAGCGCCTAGAACAACATTATGGGTCCAGTAGGAAAAATTGTACAGTGATAATAAGTAAAGATTATAGTAAAATCATAGAGCATGAGAGATAGAAGAGATATTAGAAAAAAATGGAGTCAGACACAATTCATGGCAGCATGCTCACCTCAGCCCCGCATGGTGGTCCACGTGGAGAGAGCATCTTTAATGCTAACCAAAGCTTTTATATTCTCTGAGGACATGCAAACCCCCTAATTACAGGTGAAGACATACGTCACAGGAAGGGGTTGTGCTATAGGTAATACAGTAATGGGAAGGGGTGGTGTAGGGACATACACGCAATAGGAAGAGGAGAGATTGGGGGGTATACATGTGACAAGATGGGCGGATCCTAGATTTAGGATGGCAGCTTAACTTTGACCAGTTCTCTGGATCTCCATAGGAACCCTTATCAAGAGGGTATAAACCCTACCTACAGAAACCAAGCTAATGGTCCCAAGCCTTAGGGAGAAGTAATCCATTGTCCTGAGCAGCAAGGAGCAGGCCCACCCCTGTGGTGGGGCAAGACAGCAGTCTGGCAGTGATTGCCTTCAGGGAGGATTAAGTATCTGACCTCCCCCCACACCTGTGCTGTGAACCTCAACACAAGGGATCACATAATAAAAATAAAGCTTTTCATATAAAATACAGTGTTAGTACAAAAACAAAACTTCTAGATCCAAAAGATACTGTAATGTAAACAAGGTGAGTTTTATACATATGCACAATAATGCTTTATATAGCAAATGGAGGTATACCTGAAATGTTGCATAAAAATCAAACCCATTGTTCCTGAGTTAACTCTGGCTCAAAGAGAGATCCACATGTGTTAGAGTAGAATTCTGTAGACATTTTAATGGTTGAGTTTTTTGGAAGCAAATTGTCAGTCCATTCTTCATGGGCACTACCCAAGGGCATGATATTATCTCAGATGCTTATACTAGAAACAAACTAAAAATATTACAGAAGTGTTTTATAAGAAGGTTGAAGTATCTATAAAGGCATTACAGAAGTGTTTTATAAGAAGGTTGAAGTATCTATAAAGGCAACTAAGTAACTTCTAGGTACTTTTTGTGGGTACAATATATAAATAGCAATACCTGAAGGTCTTGCCACAACCTTTACATTTTAAAAAAGGTTTTGTGCAGGGAGTTTTACAAGGCTTTTAGGGTGAAAGGTGGCTTTTCAACATGCCTTGTGGCCTTAAAGATTTTCTACAATGTTTTTTCATATGTTGTTTAAAGGATTTGGGACACTTGTAGGCTTTCCCACATTCTGTACATTCTTAGGGTTTCTCATCAGAGCGTGATGTGATTGCATATGTAATCGCAAAGAGGTAGGCCAAATAAAGTTTTTCCCACATTGTTGACATTCATAAGGTCTCTTACCACTGTGTGTTATCATATGTTGCCGAAGGTTTGCAGGCATACTGTAGACTTTCCCACATTCTTTACATTCATAGGGTTTTTCTCCACTGTGCATGTTGACATGTTGCTTAAAGTATTTGGGACATCTGAAACCTTTGCCACAGTGCTTACATTCATAAGGTTTCTGTTCACTGTGTGTTTCCTTGTGTCTATAAAGGCGAGAGACACAAGTGAACGCCTTTCCACACTGCTTACATTTATAGGGCTTCTCTCCAGTATGCATTTTCTCATGGGTTTTAAACGATGAGTGAAAAGTGAAGGTTCTCTTACAGTACTTACATTCATAGGGCTTCTCTCCAGTGTGGATTCTCACATGCTCTCGTAAGTATGCTAGAGAACATAAGGTTTTCCCACATTCCTTACACTCATAGGGCTCTCCAGTGTGCACTCTCATATGTTCTCGAAAGTATGCGGAAGAACTGAAGGCTTTCCCACATTCCTTACACTCATAGGCCTCTCTAGTGTGCATTCTTATATGTTCTTGTAAGTCTGTGGGAGAACTGAAAACTTTCCCACATTCCTTACACCCATAGGGCTCTCCAGTGTGCATTCTTATATGTTCTCGTAAGACTGCGGGAGAACTGAAGGCTTTCCCACATTCCTTACATTCATAAGGTGTCTCTCCACTGTGGCGTCTTAAGTGTACTTTAAGGGTGTAGGAATGCATAAACATTTTCCCACATTGGTTACATTTATAGGACTTCTTATCAGAGTGTTTTTCCATATGTGTTTTTAAGGAGATGGGCCAACTGAATGTTTTCCCACATTGTTTACATTCAAGGGGTGTCTCACCAGTGTGAGTTCTCATATGGCATTCAAGGTATGAGGGGTACTTGAATGCTTTCCCACATTCTTTACATTCATAAGGTTTCTTTTCACTATGACGTTGTAAGTGTCGTTTCAGGGAAGAGGAAAATGTAAACATTTTCCCACATTGCTTACATTCATAGGACTTCTCATCACAGTGTGTTTCCATATGTACTTGTAAAGAGCTAGGCCTACTGAATGTTTTTCCACATTGTTTACATTCACAGAGTTTCTCACCAGTGTGAGATCTTATATGGCTTTCAAGGTATGAGGGAGACTTGAAGGCCTTCCCACATTTTTTACATTCATAAGGTTTCTCTGCATTGTGCATTTTCACATGCTTTTGCAAATACTTTGGACAAGCGAAGACCTTGCCACACTGCTTACATTCATTTGGTTTCTCTTCACTGTGCATTTTCGCATGTGTTTGAAATGATTTGGAACAGATGAACTCCTGGCCACATTGCTTACATTCATAAGTTTTCTGTTCACCATGTGTTTTCTCATGTCCATGGAGGGAGGAATAACAACTGAAGGATTTCCCACATTCCTTACATTCGTAGGGTTTCTCTCCACTGTGTTGTCTTAAATGTAGTTTAAGAGATGAGGAATGCATAAAAGTTTTCCCACATACTTCACACACAGGGCTCTTCTGATCTCTGTGACCACTCTCACGTCCCCTAAAATTAAGAAGCAACAGAGTGATTAGTATGACCACATAGTTCCCATTGGCAGTGCATGGGTATGTTTTCTGTGCTATCTCAAAGTGAAATAACAAGAAAACTTGACTGAGACCTTAACTAACATAATTACCCAAACATTGTTTCTTATGGGTTTCCCAACTACTACTTGTATCTGAGAAAGTTCAGACCCTCCAGGTCTACAAAATATGTATGAAACTATAGTCTTGTGAAAATTCTGAGTACATCATTTAGCTAGGCTTCACTTTTTCTCTCTCTCTTCCAGATAGTATGTACTGGGTAAAGAGATATTACTCACGTCGAATGCTGCTTCTGGATGACAGGATGATCTTGAATGTCCTGAAGTTTCCCTTTTCCATCCAAATCAAAGGAGGAAGTATAACTTAGTAAAGTTTTTACTTTCTCATCAGAGATTTCATTCTCAAAAATGTCCTCCTGGGGATTTGATCCACTCATTTCAGGATGAACACAGTTATCTGTAAAAAGGGATTAATACAATATAGTTTGCGGGAAAGGGAAGAAAAAAGGCCATTTTGGATTCCTTTTCATATACTGAGGCAGAACGCTAAACAATTGTTTCAAGTCATGCGGAACAAGTAAGCAAAGGAAGACTGGGGGCTTTGCCAAAAACAGGTGTGAGAAAGGATCAAAATGGCAGTCCATTCACTAAGAAGTCCGCTGCTGTAGAACTGACCCCATTTTGGTATAGAACTGCGATCCATATGGTGGGCAAAGGCTGCTTTTAAAACTAAACTCCTTGTTGTGAATTACACAAAGTTTTACCATTTGAAATGTACATTTGAAAATTCATGTACATTTTGTTTCATCTCATCATAACCCCGATGATGAAACTTCACAAGGAATCTTTGAGTCTGTTTTCACTCCTCCTACTTTTCTAACCCTTCTGAGCTTAGTCTTCAGGTAAATACTGCCCTTTGATCTTAAATGGTTGGCTCTTCTGTAGTGTGTATACCTCACGAGTACTGCTGGGTTTTTCTTTACAGACCTATCATTTGGATAAATATTGAACCATGGAAGCAAGTTCAGTTCCAGGCAGGAAGGGTGACAAAGGGCCAACGTCTTGGGGATCCCATCCCAGCAGTCTCTTACTCACAAGTAAGTCTGGCCTCTTTATGATTTTGAGTTTTGTTCTACATTTTCTCATTCTATGCAAGACTTTACTAGTACGTGAGCAATATGTTTAGGCCTCAGGGTTGTGGCCACTGATGCTTGCCTAATCCACTATACTAATTGTTTCCATGTATCTTTGGATTGGAGAGACCAATCATTGCACCTTATGTGACTGCTCACAAACGTTTAGATTTTAGTTACTGTTCACCACTGTCCTGATGAACTGTGTTGTTGCAAGTGACTTTGGAGTTCCTTGAATTGTGGTCCTCAGACCTGAAAAAATGCTTGCTCTTTTAAGAAATAGAGTACCAAGATGTTTTTCGAAGGATCTAACCCTCTAGTCCTTTAGAATCCAAGAACATTAGCAGTTTGTACCACCCACAGATGTGATCTACTAAGATATATTTCCTAAAGGATGGACTCTGATGTTTATATAAA